GTGACGAATACTTCATTTTAATTTGTCTTTCATATGATCATTTTTTGTAAATTTTGAAGTTAGTGATTTATATCTGTTCGGGTTTTAATTCCTGTCGAAAGAATACCTTTTCAATGTAATATTTTGTCGTTAAAGAATATATACATAATTGCTGTATGGGAATTGAATTCCACTAAAACTGTTACAATTAACTTTTATTATGTTCTTTACGAAATCTTTATATCGTCTTTTGTTGATCGTTTGTATGAAGAACTTTTTTTCAAAATTGAGGTTAATTTTTTTCTCTACTTTTTTTAAGAAGTTGTTATGTTCCAAGATCAATAAATACGGTCTGAAAAGATTTATGATTGTAAATTGCACATCGGACAAAATTTTGTCATTTTATTATTGAATTCCAATTCTTTCCTTTCAAAGATCTCAGTTTTAAAAAATTACCATATTTGAAAAATATCAGTTCTCGCCTTAGTCATTATTTCAGTAATAGAATATGTCGAAATGTTGTTTAAGAATTATTTAAAAATATTTTAAAAAGCATCCAAAACAGCTTTGACACAAACATAGATTGGTGAACACTAGATACATGGTTTTGTCTGTTCATGAGAGAAAACAACAAAATCTCTCAAGCCCCTAGCACCGGCTAAAGCGGCGTCTATAGGCAGTGGAAGTCAATAAAACCGACGAACTAGAAAAAATATATCACAAAACTACAATGAATTACGGAACACGTGTCAACAAGTGGCGTACAACACATAAAACTTGCCATTGTAAATATCTAAGATTTTTATAAGGGAGCAACGAATCAAAAATAGAGACGTGGTAGTCACAAAACAGGTTTGGGGAAGAGATCACCACTTTTATACCTTGCACATATAAAGATGTCTTGACGGACATGTGTTACATATCTCAATTGAGTACAATACTTCGGTTTGTCTTTAAACTGTTAACCAACAAACATTAGATATATGCTTATATTCATTTGATTGACTTCACTTATAAATAATAGTATCATAGAGCTGTAGAGTTTTTATCTATTATATATTTAACATAACTCCTCTTGTAATCTAGCTTATTCTATCACTGATAAACCATCGATCGCTGGGAATAATTAGATATGTTATGCGACGATTGATTGTGTATCCTCCTATATATAATTGGATAACTGGACAAGGGGGATATGTGAATTAATTAAGCAACCTTGCCTTTGCGTAATCGCTGCTTAATACAACAGTCTCTATAATGAAAGATAAAAAACAACGATAATATCGATTGTTTAAGACAGTATGATTAGGTAGTTCTAATAAAAAGCTGCAAACACATTATACATTGATTTTGCTCGCGAACTAAATTCATTTACCACGTCTACGAATTATTCCGCCTGTTCATATTTTACCATGATTTTGTATACGTTATTATTTCCCATATGAACTTATTCAAATGCTGGCCTTGGTTATGATAAATGATTTATTTACAATACTCAAAGAATTAGTAGTCTAACGACACGATCTTCCTTTATTTACAGCAGATAATAATTGTCATACAATGCAAGCAGAAAAATATTTTAATATATTATGATAGCAAGAAGCAAAACTCATTTCTTGTGAGGCTATTAAAAAGTTGATAACATTAGTTCTCCTTGTTTATATGCACGAGTAATTAAATGCAAATAAGAGGAAAAATCTCATGTAGCACTAGTTTTCAGAGTAACAAAGTTTTTTTAAAGAGTATAACAGGTAACAATACATGTAAAAGCATTGTTATTTTGGGTTGTAAAGCATCATATTATATCACTACGTATTTACACGCATTTTATGTAATGCAACATTGTAATGCAGGTAAGGTAACAGTTATTTCCAATGTGGGTAAAAGTTGAGTAGTTGTGTAAACAAGGAATATTTATCAACATTGTTAACACTGGTAAATTATAATGAGCTTAAAATTAATGCAGTGTTAACGTCAACATGGTGTGATGTTATAATTCTATTAAACTGTTCCTTAAATAAAGTATTACATCGTTACTAATACTTTATATATTAAGTTTTCGATTCAACATATTCAACATAGATTTCATAATGTGTAGCAAATACCCTGATAGTCCTTGTTTTAACATTTTATACAATCATGCGTTCCCTTATACACAATCGAAACATGTGTAAACTCATATTAATAAAAAAAACTTTTTACTATCATTAAGCACATTTTGTATCATAGCATCTAGACTAAACAAAATTACATCAGTAGTAGAGCTGCCTTTCCTGTAATCGACTGGGCATCTGAGACAATATAACTAGATTTTTTAATCAAACCAAAATTATGACTTGATCATCGGTAAGATTTTTCCACTTTTTTATCAAAGAATTGCTGCTTTGAGTGAAAACCACCTCATGATATTTTTAACAGCATAAAGTACCTCTAAATAAATAAAAAAACATTTATTGTTAGATAAACATTCCGAAAGAAAAGTCGTAAAAAGTAAAACTGCATAATCCATCTTAACGATGTGAAAAAAAAAATGATTTAATAAATGAAATCGTACATGTGCAAATATTTGTAAATCTTTTTCATGTGGTAAGAGATTGCCGAAAAGAGAACACACAAAGCAAAGGAACAAACATTATTATACGAATTTGATTCTTAATTATTTATGCAAAAAAATGTTTGATTTTATGTACTTTAAAGAGGATTTGGGAAATAAATGATGCTGATAATGGCGAACAAAGTATTGTAAAACAAAAAAATTTGAAATGTAATAGATGTAATTTATCTAAATAAATTGTACTTTATTGTATGTTCGTCATTGCTGAAATATTCCAGCGTTGTTATTATTATAGGGTAGAAATACAAGAGGTTATGCTGAAAATTTTGTCTACAAAGTTTCTCATTGGTTGTTAATTTTAATAAAAAAACTCAATACAAAAAAATTAATACGGGGAATAATTACTTCGAATAATGATTATTCTGATCTATTATATATTACGTAAGACGCCTACATTAGTATAAGCCAGTGTTACTTTGATACTTAAATGTCTTTATTACTGATTATATAATCTCTAACATAGATTTTGTTCCCACTGCAACAATGCTATCAAGATTCATTTGACACCAGCTGCAGTTCGTCCGGAGGGCACTAAGACTATAACATGACTCTAAAATCAGATTGTATAGGATATTGACTGATGACACATGTTTTAATAGGTTGCTACATATATCTATATACTTTATCTCAATGTTGCTAAATTAGTTATATTGTTAGTTAAACGCTTGACATTCACTTTACATATTCCAAATACATGTTCCACGATTTTATTTGGGTAAACATGTACTATGTATGTAGTTTCTTTGAGTTGGACATTTAATGGTTATCATTACCCAGTCCCCCACTCCCCTCCTATTTATGTTGTTATTTTGATTTGATTTCTTTTATCATGAAGTGAAAATCGTGGGCCATTGGTTGAGGCCATTAACATAAAAAAGCTTGACCCTCATCAATATTGATTCGAATCACACAGGCACTTTGGATTCTTTCATGTGAGGATGCTATACGGTAAAAATACAGAACATTGGTAGTTCCAGTCAGGTGCCCGTTCGTGTCTGAAATAGTGCATGGAGCGGCTACTGAGGAGCTCTCCCTCCACCACCAATATGAAGCCGGACAGTCGCCATATGACCTTTACAGTGTTGGTGTGGCGTGAAACCCAACAAGAAAAAAGAATCAATGAAAACATATGACACACTAATGTATGCAATAGCATTTGCGTATTTTTCTAACTAAAATAGAAATCATATCTTTTAAGTCAATGAAAATAAAACGTTATATAAATGTGACTGAACATGTTAAACAAACATATCATCAAAAATTTGATTGATCTACCTTCAAAAGTTGACTAGCAACACTTTATCGTTATGCTATATGCTGTTATTAGTAGGGCTATATCAAAAAGTATAAATTAGTGTAGATAAGAAATAATGTTCAACATTATACTATTTGATCTCAAGCTCGTTTACGGTTAATTTATATTATCCTCTCTTATCATAAATAATTACATTTTTAATGGTGTCTCAAAGGATCATATCTTGTGTATCATCAACATTTCTAGGAGTTTGAAATTTTACAGGAAGGAATACAAACACAACTCTTAATGACACGAATGAAAATCAAAATATATAATAAGTTCATGTTCATAGCAGATTTTCGCATGACAGGTTCAGTTTGTTTTTCTTTATATTTTCCATAATTTTAAATCTCTATTTTCCTAACCTGCAATGTTGATTGTATAACTTTTTTGATTACAGAGTAAACAATACACACAAAATATTCTAAAAATAGCATAATGTTTTAATCAGTCTTATACAAAAATACTTTATACGAACCATATTGCACGATTTTAGTTTAGTCCCTAAACACTGTTGTATAAAAGAAATTCTGACTTCCTCAATTATTTATCTATATCTAGTTCTAATTTTTGGAATGTTATTCATAAGTTCCAAACAAACAACTTTGTACATATGACAATAACGACAATTCTTTTAGAACCCGTAAATGTTATTTAGATATTGTAACATGTCGACAATAAAGACAATAACTATAGTCAGTTAATTCTATTTTACAACAGTATGATGTCGAAAATGAATTTAGAGTCGGTTACAGTTACATGTCGGCATTAAAAGCAGTGTAATTAAAGCTAATGTTATTCAGATAAGTAACAATATCCACATAGAAGCGTTTTTACAACCAGCCATGTAATTCAGCAACTTTATTCCTGATTGTTCTTCGGAATAAAACGCACTTATTCAAAGTAAAAAAAACACTGACAGTTAACTGAAAATTCTATTTTGCCAGAAATCTAAAATAATTACAAAAATAACTAAAAGCTTTATTCAAATTTCTAGTAAAGTTCTATCAAACACACTATACGCATTACTGTAAAGTGTATTAAAGTTAAAGAAATGTTTATTTCAAGGGTTAAAAGAATATTATTTGAAACGTAAAACAGGAAACTTACACATAAAATGACCAAGGTACCATATCTCCTTGGCATAGAACTCCATCACTGCAACAGGTTGGCATACAAGCAGAACGCAAAAGTCAGCAATACTTAACGTGAAAAGAAAGTAGTTTGTTGGATTTCTCATTTCCCGGACGCGACATACAACCATTATAACCATGGTATTTCCAAACAAGCCAACGCATAAAATCAACACATTTACTATCGTCAAATACACTGTCATGTAATCCGGGGTATGCTGAAATTCAGTTTCCTGTTGAAATAGTTTATCTGTTAAATTGTCAAATGAAATATTGCTTGTATTTGAAATCATTTTGCATATTATTCTTTTTTAAATTCAAATCATTTCCATTTTTTCTATTCCATCGAAAAGAATCTCTTTTTGTTAAAGAGCTATGAATGGATTACAAAGAATTCAAATATATCAGAAGGGAAGGCACGATAATTTCACTTTAACATTTTATTGAAAATATTTTTTCACAGTTACACACTTTCTTGTTAACACCGCCTCCACCAAACACTTTTCTTGCTTTTTCCTATACTTCTGAAAACGAACGTCTGTTTGCTCTGTTTTTCCGATTTTCAAATAATGACGACTTGCATCGCCGAATGCGATATTAACAATAACCTTACTAACAACAGGCCATACAACATAACTACGATGTAATGTTTGATGCTAGAGTTTTCAATACAGATATATTGATAGAATCTGCACTGCTTCAAACTATTTTTTTTATGAACATTTGATTTATAAGTATAGAAATGATAGCGTGCGTAAAATAACTACGCTTTTATGTCTCTAAAAGTATCCATTGAATTCATATGATTATATTTCGTAAATTTGCAACCGTTACATTTAAATAATTTCTATTTAGAAGACAATTACACAAAAGTGAGTAATAACGTTCGTGTGCTCATTTTAGATATAAAACAAATGTTTACAAGTATTACTCTGCCAGAAAGTTTTAATGAAATATATAATGATATATGAAAGATGCAACACAAGTATGCGCTTAATTTCCTTCAGTATGTCTGTCATCTATGTCTGGCATGTTTGTTGCAGACGTTTTGATATTGATGAGCATATCAGTTATATACTAACGCCTACATAATTTATACATTTTAATGTTTAAATAAGTGGGGATATATAGGGATTATGGAATCAGTGGCAAGATCGAAGTATGTTCTGCTTTGTTGTTGAAATATAACTTTTCTAATATACTCCATATAATGTCTTTTTGATATCTTTAATTACCATAATTATCGTTACCAACATAACATCGCCTTTTTTATGTCTAAAGATTATCTATACAATTTGAAAAGTTTTTTAAGAAATTAAAAATTATCATTTTCATATATACAGTACCCAACTTTGTAAAAAAAATCTTAAAATGTAATTCAAAAAGTAGAAGGTATCCTAAAATTCAATATCAATCGTTAAGATATGCAATTAGTTTTGTATGAAATGTTATTAATAGATTGTGTTAGGTATATCCTTAATTGGACAATTAGTGGTATGTATTTATATTATCGATGTTTCTCTGTTAATTGTCATAGGACTCGGTCAATACGTGCTTGTAATGTGGCGTTACAAATTAGTCAGGAGGTCAAAATCCAGTTACATTAAATACTTTGATATACGTGCCACGCTTTTGTGTTATTTCAGTCTGTATGTATGTTGGAGTGTGTTCTTGTTTGTGTGATTTTTCTTGTATGTGTAATTTGTTTTGTTAAAACAATGTTGTTCTTTTTTAATTGTCTTTCGGCTTTTTGAAAAGAGTTTCGGCTTTGCAGAAATATTGTAACATATAGGTATTTTCTGTTGTATGAAACAACAATATATTCGGTCAAAGTCTATTTTAATGGACCAAACATAGACCATATATGGCGGCCATTTACTCCAATAAATCAATTAACAGACTTTGTTCATTTTGACTACTATTTTGTATGTTCCAAAGAAAATACCACAGGAACTTGAACCAACATTAATGATAATATCCAAAAATACCTCTTTTATTGTATAAATAAACTTATACAATATATACTATATAGAGGGTATATTTTGGATATTATAGGTACATTTTGGATATTATTATTATCGTTAATATTGATCGAATTTCAAGTTCCTGTGGAAAATAAATTTAATATTCTCACCTTAGCATGCCTACCAACGTTCAGGATGAACAATGTCTTTCGTCCTCCCATTCATAAATGATACACAATTCTGATAAACCCCAACTAACCATTGAATAGTTTATAAGAATATCTGGTCATCAGATGTCTATAAGTTCATCTTCACTTGCTACATTTCTTGCTTGGACGCCCTTTGATCATGATATACCATTTGCCACGAAACATGTAACGGACATTTTGAAAAATGAAGTCGATGAAAGTGTTTGTTTTGGCTTATTTACATATCGATATTTGTACCATGATTAGTTGTTGATATTTGTAATGCAAAATGTACATGCTTTGATAATTTTATAACCCTTAATTACTGACTACAGTAGTGATACAAACAGAACAATGTTGCACTACTGTCATGTCACATTACAAGTCTTGTAAGTCTTGTTTTGTATTGGAATTACTTATCTTACGAGGTAGGCATCAGTGAAAGCATTTTATAAATTTAGTACTTGGGCACTCTCTCATGAACAAGTGCACACGATAAGTATAAATGTGCAAATTTAAATGATTTACAAAACATCCGAACTAATGTACAACAGTACTTAATCTAAATAAAAATGGCCTGTGCGTAGGAATGATTTGGTAAGGTATCTGTAATGAGAGCATTTTATTGCGCGGAGCTTCTCAATTGCTGCATATTGCAGTAACATTTGTACTTGTCTTGAATAGTGTGCCATATTTACATGTGAGCTTCGCATTCTAGTGCAAATATTAACAGTAACTGTTGTTTTAGTGTAACAAAGTAAAAATAAAATAATATGTTGGTCAAGCAATGTAGTAAAATTATGAATAAGCACACAATTGATAAAGAACTCTTTGATGACACTAGTACCAAAGTATCTGATCATTTTAACTCTTTTTTATAACTTATTAGTAAGCCAAGTTATGTATTACATATTGACGTCGTTTTTCTTGACATGGTATGGCGTTGACGCAATTTTCATTAAACAACTATACCTGATGAAGACTTTTGTGTGACATTTTGTTAAGACTGTAGGCGAAAAAGGTATATAACATGGAAACATGTACATAGATAAAAGATGACATTTGGTAATATCTCAAATTATAAATGAATTCGCCAATATATATATGATTGCATAAAACCATCTAAGTGTTATTCAACAAGGTAATTGGAATAAGGTTTCTATCTGACAGAATATATGGCATTCAATTTTCAATATAATGAGAGCAAAAATCACTTTATTTAGAATTGCAGTTTGTTTCGTGGCGTGAAATGTTGTTTTGTATTTATAATATTAAAGTGAAATAACACACACGCGTAAATAGTGAGTGTGTAAGTACGTTATGTCTAAGATTTTATATGATGCTTCATAAAAATAAACAATAACCTATGTGACACACTGAAATTTCAATCAAAACAAGTATTCTTTCGAAGTTATCATGTAATGTTCAAGTGATTAAATATGTGGGGTCAGTCTTTTTATATTTTAGACAGTTTTTATATTTTATCCTAAACAATTTTCATTATCAATTATTGGTTAATTACCACTTTGATAGTCATCCTTTCAAAATAAATAGCTTATTCAGCAATAAAACAGCTTTCAATATACTTTTTATTTTGATGTTGATATTTTATCTAAAAAGAAAATTATTATCCATATAATCATGTCACTAAATGTTTTTGCAAGGAACAAATTACAACATTTTTTATATTAATTGCCAATATATACCTGGTAAGCACTCTAGAGAAACAGAATTAACCGAAAGGCCATAAAGAATTGTCAAGAGAAGAACGTTAAGTAAGCTTAACGTTTAAGTAAAACTGTTAATAAAGTAAAAAGTTTGAGTTTTACCATAGGCTTATAATACCAAACAATACCTAAAGGGAAGAATCAAAATTTAACGTGAAGGAAGCGGAGTAGAAAGTATAACACATAACTGCTATGCAACAAAGCAGATTGCTATAAAAGGAGATGAAGAGCATGCTAAAATGAATAGTTTCTACAAAAATAATGTTCAAAATTTGCTATAGGAATATAAGAAAAAATTAACAAATAAACAAATTCTATTTATGATTATTATTATTTGAAAATGTTTTGAATACATACTAATTATCTTGGATAGTAGAGAGGTTATGTGTTTTTACTTTACTTATTCGCTTATATGTTTAAGTTTTACAAATAGCATTTCTTTGCATCACGTTTGATAAATACTATTTAGTTTGTCTGTGGAAATACCATTTAGTAAGATACTTTAAAAAAAGTCTTTTTTGTCTACAGTAAATTATAGTGATGGTTCCTTTAAAATTTCATGAGATCTAAGATTGGTTTATACTGAAGGTTTACTCAGTTTCTTTTTTTATAGAAATGAAACATAAGCTTGCTGCAAAATAATGATTTGTTTGAAAAAGTAAGTAACTCATAACTGTCATAAAGTGGAGATCTCAAAACAATTCAACATATCTGACAATGATAACATGATATTATTTGATATCGAAATTTAATATTTAAAATTTGATACCATTTTACAAATAACGCACATTTAACAAACATGACATACGAGCACCTGCGCAGCTCATTTTATTAAACAGGATAATTAAGTACTTGCGTGCAGAAAGAAATCACCAACTGAACAAGTTTATTTCCTATATTTTTTTTCGAAATTCAGCAAAGTGAATGTCGGAAAAGTTTGATAGCTTCCTAAGAAATACGAATTTGAATTAAATTAATATCTAATCACGACATAGCCACCGTTCTGAAAACGTGATGATTTTTTTTTATATTTAATTTATTTTAAAAGTTTTAGAAAATTATTATCCATATAATCATGTCACTAAATGTTTTTGCAAGGAACAAATTACAACATTTTTTATATTAATTGCCAATATATACCTGGTAAGCACTCTAGAGAAACAGAATTGACCGAAAGGCCATAAAGAATTGTCAAGAGAAGAACGTTAAGTAAGCTTAAAAGGAGATGAAGAGCATGCTAAAATGAATAGTTTCTACAAAAATAATGTTCAAAATTTGCTATAGGAATATAAGAAAAAATTAACAAATAAACAAATTCTATTTATGATTATTATTATTTGAAAATGTTTTGAATACATACTAATTATCTTGGATAGTAGAGAGGTTATGTGTTTTTACTTTACTTATTCGCTTATATTTTTAAGTTTTACAAATAGCATTTCTTTGCATCACGTTTGATAAATACTATTTAGTTTGTCTGTTGAAATACCATTTAGTAAGATACTTTAAAAAAAAAGTCTTTTTTGTCTACAGTAAATTATAGTGATGGTTCCTTTAAAATTTCATGAGATCTAAGATTGGTTTATACTGAAGGTTTACTCAGTTTCTTTTTTTATAGAAATGAAACATAAGCTTGCTGCAAAATAATGATTTGTTTGAAAAAGTAAGTAACTCATAACTGTCATAAAGTGGAGATCTCAAAACAATTCAACATATCT